TAGCTCCCAAAGTTGTAACGCTCACAAACGGTTGCGTCAAATTTCTGTACTACATTTCATTTATGCGAACTGTTCATCTTTTCAGTAAGTATTTATCCACGCGCCAAGTAACAGCAGAATGTGAGACTAGGTCGGAATTTTCGGTTTCCAAAGACGTTCAAGTTTAAAATTCACCCCTGGCAACATTAATGCCATTAAAAAGGGTCTAGGTGGTAATAAAGGAACCTGAAAATCTACAAAGGTTCCTAAACAGGGAACAGGTGTAAAACCTCTCTACCTGTTGAAAAGACGAAGGAAAATGGTAGAGGTTTCAAAAGAACCTTATCTTGACTGAAAATTTTAATAGGTTAAAGCATCCTCCTGGAAATCCTCTTGGGAAATCAATTATTGTCACCAAAAATTTCACATAAAAACTGAACTGAAAGGCAATCATACGTCGAAAAACGAATGCCATTATATTAATATAATATATATTATAAAGAAATAATCATACAGGGAACAGAAAAAACTTTGCTAAAAACCCAGGTCATCCTACACCACACACACACACACACACACACAAACACACACACTAAACAATACTGGGTAATAATTTATTTCAAACAAAATTGGTACTGTCTTTTATAATTTTTTATACAAAAGACCTATTTGATTATCACAAACCTCTAATATATATATATATATGTTAACGAAAAGGTACGAAAACCCAAAATATTAAAAGAAATAATCATTTTTTTAGAAGCCCCAGTCCGAACAAGCCCCACAAAAACCCAAAATAATAAACCTATCTACATATACATTACAAATGACAGAAATCAACCTACTGAAATTGGGCCTAAAATTTGTCCTTAGCAATATATAGTAGATTTTCAAAAAGACAAGGAATTTGAACCGAGACTTGTGATGAGCACTAGTAAAAAAACAATAATGTAACGAGATAAATATATTTTTGAAAACGGATAAAACGGTAGACAAAGACTAGAGTTAGACTTGACGTGGTTAAAAGACAGAACATTTTTCTAAAACACTAGAGGATAGGAACCAAACATCCAAAACTTCTGTATGTATAAAAAGTCCTGATTTCTAATAAACTGTACAAAAAATCAATGCAACATTTCTTGGGAAAATAAAAGAAAGAACATACACCAAATATCCCCAAACCCCAGTGGACCCATTATTGTCCACTAGCAAACCTAGTAACCTAATAGACAAATATTGCAACATACATAAAAAAATGAACTGAAAGGATATCCAATCATACGTCGAAAAACTTTTGACATCAGTAGCCTATACAGGAGAACCATCCAGAAATAAATTCATAAAGAGTTTATATTAATATATATATATATATATAAAACCCTATTATAAACATATGCCACTAATCATAAAAATTTAATTATGGAATATTCAAAATGTAAAGATAATTTTGGAACATCATGGGCAAAATATCTTTGCAAGAATATAAAACGAATTACTTTTAATTAGAAATAAAAAAAACCACATAATCACAGATCCAAACCCACAGACACCCAACAATACGTTCATTTAAAGACACACACACACCCCTACACACACACACAAACACACAAATCACACACACACAACACTCAAAGGAAAAAATTCCTCTAGACCAACTACAATAAAAGAAACATCATTAAAGCATAAGTGTCTTCAACAAAAACAACCCAGAAAATTTATTTCTATTTATTTTTAATATACTAAAACAACCAAAACAAAATATTTTAAACCTTTTAACCTATCTAAATTTAGTCAACACAAAATACAGGGAGTTAAAATAACAAAAAGATGATTTTTGAAAACCCAAAAAAACATTCATAATAAATTTAAACTGCAACTCCAAAAATGTAGTTTATTCGTTAAATGCACAAAAATGTTCATATATATCATAACAACTGAACAACAGGGTATATAAATTGATTTTTGTATCACAACACATAAATAACCAGGGTATAATATATGCCGATATATAAACAGACAATTACTTTATTTACAAAAAAACTTATAACAAATTTAAACCAGAAATATTGCACAACAGTGAAATATATATATACATATACTATTACAGGAGACACGAGAATATATATATATAACACACAACATTTATGTATGTATATTTTACAACTAAATGTGTGTGTGTGTGTGTATATACATGTGTTGTCCATGTAACTGGTAAATAAGTGTGTGTACTTGTGGTGGATAGTGTGTATGTGCGTATTTATAAGTAAAATAAGTTTACTTCTCGTTAGTATGGAAGGAATATATACACGCATGCTGACAAACACACAAAATAAAACAGATTTTACTAAAACTTAAAAGAATGCCGATAACCATAATTTTTTATGACCTTCACGAAACTCTTCATTGACAATTCAAGAAAGAAAATTGGGATTGCCATTTTATATGGGGAATATTTAACATTAAAAATGAAAATTAATCCATAATAATTTAAGACAAAAGACTAGAAGGACTTATGTTTTTCCATTTCTAATAATATACATCTTTTCTCTCGTTGGAACCATTACAACATATTTATATATATATATATATATATATAAATATATATATATATATATTTTATTTAATTATATATAAATTCAGATATATATATATATATATATCCTACAATATTTATATTATATTTAAAATAATAATAAAAATAATTTTTTATAGATAATTTTTATAACGTTTTATAATAAACAGTATTAAATAAGATTTACCGACCTGAATGTTTTTGTCGAAATAAAAATTTCTCGGACTTCAGGTCGGTAATGTTAATTAATACTGTTTATCATAAACAGAGAATTTATTAAATACTTGTATCTATAAAAAGAATGTTAACAAAAATGTCTTTAAATAATTGTCGGACTTTGTCCATTTCATAATATATATATATATATATATATATATATATATTATTATTATTATTATTTATTTAAAATGATAACATAAATATTGTAGTGATTTTATAACGTTTATGTTATAATTTTTAAATAAATAGTTATATTCGCACTACTCTTGAGCACTCTTTTGAGAATAGTATTGTTGGTTATTGGAATTTATTCCGTATACACCAATCCTATACTTGGATATATATATATATATATATATATATATATATATATATGAATGATAAAATATAGTTCTAAGGTATAGTTTTTAAGGTGAAAATGGTGCTGTACCAATTTTCTCAGGAAATCGAATTCCCTAGTCTGGTCTCTCTTTTTTTTAATCTTTTTTTTTTTTTTTATCTTATTCCTCGATCGGATTCACTTATTCCGTTCTTCAAGCGTCTGTGTCTCGATTTCACCCACCGACAAGAAAGAATCCTCGGGAAACAGACTCCACCATTATATATATTTATGTGTTAAAGTGCTCAATATCAAGGACAGATCCAATGTAAATATAAAGTGGACATTGGAGTCAGCACCCAGGGGCGACAGTCGGTTTCATGCTTGAACGCAATCCGATTTGTACTGGGTGAACTTTAGTAATACACACACCTACCCTCAACCACACACACACACACACACATATATATATATATATATATATATATATATATATACAGAAGTGGGCATTGAAGTCAACAAATAATCATGACACCCTACAAGTACGCACATCCGTACAGATAGATGCATGGGAATATAAAAGTGCATATAAAAAAGAAAAATAGGAAAGTATAAGCAGTCAACTGCCAATACCACCTGACGAGTGGACGGAGCGATCCGTCTACGAAACTCTAGATTCGGCATGCTGAAAGCAACATCAGTCAGCTAAGTAACAAACCTTTTACTTATATATATATATATATATATATATATATATATATATATATATATATATATACATAATACTAATAATCTTATAAATATAAGCAGCTATACTCGTCTGGCAAAACCTTAGTTGTTTTAGCTTGTAAATGAACAAGGAAAAAAAAAAGGCTAAAAAAAAGAAAGAACTAAGAACATGTACTTCCGGCGAAAATAATCGTCTAGAATCTAAATTCAGAGTTTAAAGACAAAAACCTCCGACACGAGTAAAGTAAATATAACTAAGCAAAGTGCTCAATACACTAAGTAGATCAAACTAAGTAAGCCTAAAGAGCCAGACAAAGCTACCTAGGTTTCACCTACGCGGATCATCGAATCGATATATATAGCGTGGCAATGAAGTCACTCTACAGTTATTTACAATAACAATTAAGACAACGTAATTAACGAATAATCCATAAATTTATTATTAAAATGGTTCTGGTTAATTCTGGTTAATAACAATAACATGTTATGGTAAACAATAGTAAATTAATTGCCGATACTGTTTGAACTGCAAGCCACATGTTTCAATGCTTTACTTATTATAAATAACTGTACAGTGACTTTATTGCTAACCTATACACACACACACACACACACACACACACACACACACACACACACACACACACACACATATATATATATATATATGAAGGTACATTTTAACCTCATGATGGAAAAATTGTTTATTTTACACAACAGGCATTTATTTTTCGACATAATCTTCTTCCTTGTTAATGCACTTAATCCAATGCTTTTGCATTAATCACATAGATCGAATATTGTAAAAATTTAGGGTTGAAATGCAGCTAGGTGAGGCTACGGATTTATTGATTCTGTTTGAACTGCATTCCTCCAGTAACATGTCAGCGGCGTGCGTCTTTTACGACAAACTCGTACATCTCTTCATCTGTGCCTTCTCACAGCCGCACTATTTCTTGAAAATGGTGCTGTACCAATTTTCTCAAGAAACCGAATTCCCTTGTCTGGTCTTTTTTTTTTTTTTAAATATTTTTTTTTTTATCTCATTCCTCGATTGGATTCACTTCTTCCGTTCTTCGAGCGTCTGTGTCTCGATTTCACCCGCCGACAAGAAAGAAACCTCGGGAAACAGACTCCGCCATTATTTATATTTTTTTCTTGCTTCCATTGTGATGTCATGGGTTAGCGTGTGCATGAGATAAGACACAGAGAGAGAGAGAGAGAGACAGAAAGATGTGAGGAAGGCATGGAAAAGCGTGATGGGGCAGGGAGACACGAGAAAGACAGGCAGACAGACATAGGGGGTGGAGAAAGAGAGGGATAGATTTCAATGAAAGAGACAATGAAAAATGAGAAGCAGAGTGATAAATGGCAGATGAGAGACGAGATTGAGAGAAAATGAAGAGAGAGACAGATACGGACACAGAAGGTGATGGACAAAGAGATGGGTGGTAGGTTCCAATGCGAGAAAGAGAGAGAGACACACATACACAGAGAGAGAGAGGGAGAGAGAGAGAGAGAGAGAATAAAAAAATGAGTGTCATAAGGAAAAGTGAGAGATGAGAGACAAAGAGATAACCTCAATGTGGAGAGAAAGCAAAAGAGAAATGTGTGTGTGTGTGTGTGTGAGAGAGGGAGAGAGAGAGAGAGAGAGAAAAGAGAGACAGAGAGAAAAGAGAGACAGATAAAGAGAGGGATAGGTTTCAATGAAAGAAAGAGAAAGACAAAGAGATAATAATAATAATAATAATAATAATAATAATAATAATAATAATCAGATTCTGTGATAAATATCCAGAAACAATTGATCATATTGTATCAGGTTGCACGGTATTGGCACCCACTGAGTATAAAACCCGGCATGACAGAGTGGGCCAATATCTGCACTGGAAAATCTGCAATTTCTAAGGGAAGGAAACTGAAAGAAATTGGTATGAACACCACCCAGACCCGGTTACGGAGATAGGACCTGTTACAATTCTATGAGACTACACAATACACACTGACAGAACAATCAAAGCCAACCGTCCAGATATTGTTATTAAAGACCATAAATAAAAAAAAAGTGCCTCCTTATTGATATGGCAGTCCCTGCTGACTGCAATGTATCTTTGAAGATATTCAAAAAGCTGTCAAAATACAAGGACCTTGAAATAGAAATCTCAAAAATGTGGCACATGGCAACATCTACAATCCCTGTTGTAGTTGGAGCCCTAGGATTGGTTGGAAAAGATTCCAGTAGATTAATTGAAGGGATTCCTGGAAGCCCATGCATCAAAGAGATACAAAAACTTGTTCTCACAAGTACAGCCCACACTTTAAGAAGGGCTTTATCTATGTAAAATATTTGTTTTTGTCAGTGGAAAGTGTCATGATGCCATTTCTAAGCTTAGGTTTTTGGGCAAGACCTGGAAAGAAATGTGTAAACGCCAGAAACCAAAGGAAATAAAAATAAAATAAAAATGAAGGTAAGGAAACTGGGTGATAAAAATGATGAATAATAAAATGAAAGACAAGGTAAGAGAGAGAAGAGAGAGAGAGAGGGAGAGAGAACTAAAAAGAGAGAGAAAGAGAGGGAGAGGGGGGAGGAGAGAAAGAGAGAGAGGAGAGAGAGGGGAGGAGAAAGAGAGAGAGGGGTGGAATGAGAGAAAAGAGAGAGGGGGAGAGAGAGAGAAAGAGAGAGAGAAAGAGAGAGGGAGAGGGAGGGAGGGAGATCAAAGAGAGAGGGAGGGAGGGAGAAAGAAGAGAAAGAGAGAGGAGAGGAGAGAGAGAGGGAGAGAGAAAGAGAGAGAGAGAGGAGAGAGAAAAAAAAAGAGAAAAGAAAAAAGGAGAGAGAGAAATAGAGAGAGAGGAGAGATAAAAAGAAAAGAGAGAGAGAATCAAACAGATAAAAGAAGATGTATTTGAGACAACGAAACAGTGAGATATAATAAGCGAAAATGAAAGGGGTTTAAACATTACCTATTATCAAGGGGCCAATTTTGAAAGTTTCTCATTGTTTGGAAAAGAGAAGGAAAGAGTAAATCCAAAATGGAGAAGTCAAAGCAGCGACTTCTCAATTGGGGGAGAGCTCGTGGAGTGTGTGGACCTTGAGGAGGAGTAACAGTAGTTCTAGCAGGATGATGCTCCTCCTCACATTGCTAATGTTACCGTGGCGTGACTCTCTGGAAATATTTTATGGAGCGACACATCAGCCGAAAAGCTGAAGTGGAATGATCACCTCATTCGCCTGACCTAAAACCCCCAGATTTCTTCCTCTGGGGGTTTGTCAAGGACAACATCTCGAACCGTTGCTGAAGGCAGCCATCACTGAGAATATTCAAATGATCACCCTGGTGGAATATGCACGCGTTATCAACACCTTGGCATTCAATCTGGAGCATGTACTCAAGGGCTCCTTTTGACATTTTTTTGTTCATGTTTGACACTAAATGGCTGCAGACCCTAAAATGTTATTCTTTTACCTTTCAATAAATTTAATTTCCATTAATCTACCATTTGTTGTCCTTGATTTGTGCCTGATTAGGCTGTGTATATATATATATATATATATATATATATATATATATATATATATATATATATTTATTCAAATTTATAACATATTCATGATATACGATCACTGCAAAAGTTGTTTCCAACACTTCTGGTGATTTACCAAGTGATCATCGCATCCTATATATATATATATATATATATATATATATATATATATATATATATATATATATATATAATTTTCAATAAAACAGGTGCAATTAATTTACAAATTCATGAATTATTCATACAAAAAAACAAATACAAATAATAAGAACTTATGCAACTGAAATTTATAAAAACAAGGATCTTTTCATGCATAAACAGGTTCGGGGTTTTTGTATATTATTTGAATTGTTCGCGATGATGGATTTCTCGCCAATTAAATCATTAACCTTGTATTTGTTTTTTGTATGAATAATTCATGAATATATATATATATATATATATATATATGTATGTATGTATAAACCATATCACTGGTTGACCCAAACCTTGTGAGTGAAATTGGGTAGATTGGAACTCTTGAAGGCCACCGATAGCTATGCTAGCACAAAAACACAAGTCATCGTGGCTGAGGGCTTGGACGTGCTGGCCGTGTTCAAATAGCTGATCGTGGTAGATAACACGCCCTCTCTCAGAAACTGTAACTAAGGTCTGCTCAGCATAGTGGCAGCATGAAACATATGTGGGCTCTGTGGGTGTTGAAGAAGCACAAATGTTCCTGAGCGAGGTCCTGCATTAGCAATTGGCTAGCCGCCCTAATAGACGAGCATTCTCGGATACGAGTGGCCAGGCATTATATATATATATATATATATATATATATATTTTTATATAGTACTGGTGTTAATATAGCAGCGCTATCAAGTAGATATTAATAAATATGCATATGCATATTATCCCTCGCCAATAGCATGACTCGGAGTTCCATGCACAACGCAATGCAGGTGTTGTGTATAGAACGCTAAAGGATAATATCTATATTCATTAATATATATATATATATATATATATATGTCACTGGATCTAATCATCATCTTTATCCACTGTGCCATGTTTCCTTGAGGACACATGACACAGTGACAGGACCCAAAGTGTGTAAGTTCAATACCTGGTTAAGGCAGTGGAGAAGAACTTGGAGAGAGGAATTAACAGGAGATAACTGATAACTGACATCTATTAAACATGGCACGTGGAACTAGAACAGTCTACCCCAGTGAGCGAAATAAAGGGTTCAGTTCGACATCCCAACCACCTGAAGAAGGCCGGAGCGTACAACGGCCGAAATGTTGTAATAAATATGGCGACAAAGATGAGGATAATAGTCCGAATAATGTAAATAATGTACATAATACCTCATCTCAGAAATATAGACAGATACTGAACGGTGATAAATATGGCGACAAAGATGAGGATAATAGCCTGAATAATGTAAATAATGTACATAATACCTCATCTCAGAAATATAGACAGATACTGAACGGTGATAAATATCGCGACAAAGATGAGGATAATAGCCTGAATAATGTAAATAATGTACATAATACCTCATCTCAGAAATATAGACAGATACTGAAGCGTGATAAATATGGCGACAAAGATGAGGATAATAGCCTGAATAATGTAAATAATGTGCATAATACCTCATCTCAGAAATATAGACACTCATATTCTTTCTGGAGATAGTGGGGCATGGCTCCCCACAGATTCTCTCATCTAAGTATTGCCATGACTTATTGGGAAAGATAGTGGAGTAGTTTCCAGTTGTCTTTCTTCACGGTTTGAAATTCAAAGCACACCTTCTTCTAGATTGGTCGCCAACCAAGGGTATACTTTTTAATCCATAGCTTTTGGAGAAGGGAGGAAGATACTGATTTATAAGTTTCCAACGGTAATTTGTTCGAAAGTAAACGCAACAGACAGTCGAGATTTGAACCTGGCTTGCCGATTCCATTTTTATGCACATCCACCTTATTATATTATCATACTGTAATTCTGTTTGTTAGCACGTACGTTACGCCTCTAATATCTTGCCTGTCCCCTGTCCTCAAATTCCTGGTAAAGCAGAAGCGAACAGAGTCAATCTGTAAACTCTTTTTTTCAAAACTCCAGGCAAGTCTCATTCCAGGGTTGGTTGGAGCTGTGTATAGGGATTTACTAAGAATAACGTAGATGTGGCACAAGGTCGAAAGTAGAGAGCACCCAGTGAGGATCGACCGCATTACTCAATCGTAATCGATCTAGCGAGACAAGTTCGCTAGCTATTACATCACATCGAAATGCCCAAATCTGTATATAGTGATTCACTAAGCGTAGCTTAGATGCGACACAAGGCCGAAAGTATGGGGCACCCAGTGAGAATCGAACTCATCATTGAGTCGTAATCGATCAAACGAGAAAAGTTCGCTATTATAACTCAAGGACACATGGCCCCGTGGATAAAATTGTTGGTTGGATACAGTGACTTGACCGAAAGAGTTGTGAGTTAAATTCCTGGCTACATCAGTAGTAAACAAAAAACTTGGAGAGTTGATTTAAAGGGAGATAACTGAGACATTACTGGTAATATTTTCTTTTCTAAAATGTAATACTGTTCTCAAAATCTATTTTTACATGGTGTTTTAACTCCAGTTTTGGTGGGGGTTAACTATTTACCCATAGCTGGGACCCTAACAGGTGCTACCACCCCTGGTCAGGTTGGATTAATAAGTGGTTCAGAGGATTTGCTGCTGGATGTAGTTTATCGTCATACCCAGGACGTAGATGGAGTTTGACATCATACCCAGGACGCCTCATAGGGCGTGTATGTGGGGTATCTTATCTCTCTGCAGAGGTGCAGTCGGCGTATTCTGAAGCCCCAACCGACAGGACATCCTTGCTGTCGGATGTAGTTTATCGTCGGATCCAGGACGATCAAAATTTTGAAAACATATCGCTTATACGCGTACTTTGTTGTGCCGGCCCCACGTTCTACTTTTTAATGTCTCAGTCTTCATCACTGAAATTAAGAATGTGAAAAAAAAAGGAAAACGTAAAAAAAAAAAGGAAAACAAAAAAAAAGAAAAGAAAGGAAAACGAAAAAAAAAAAAGAAAAGCTGCCTACTTTTGCCAAGCGTAGATGAATTTAAGATTTTTATAAAAAGTAAGAAAAGGCGTATTGTCACACACACACGCACACCCACACGCACATGCACACGCACACACACACGCACGCACACGCACACACGCACGCACACACACGCACACACACACACACACACACACACACACAC